CAGCGAGCGCGGGGGGCAACCCTACAGCCTCTGGAAACACCTATACGACGCTCCCCAAGCCGTTTCCCAGCAATGCATGTGCGCCGGACCATTTCTCGAGCGCACCTTCTTCAGTTCTCTCGTCAAACTGGCCTGGGTCCTCGATGACGCTCATGGAACGTCAACAGAGAGTGTAAGTTCTTGTCTCCCCCAAAAGGCCATCGTCAGCCTTGTGACAGGTCCTAATTTCTGTTGTACAGTCCTCCTTTGTCACCTCCCCATTCGTACAATTCGGCAAACGGCATCGGGTCAACTTTCAGGAGTATGGGAGAGAGAATACCACAATATTCGACAGCTCTCCACACCCAAATAAGTCCAGGCCAATTTCCAGGAGGGATGCGGTATCAATCAAATCCCTTTCCAGCTCGCAATAGTCCAGCGTTTGCTTTCCCACTCCAAGAGGGTTCATACCCAGGACAAAACATGTCAACACATTGCCATGACAGCCAGAACACTACGCGGCAAGATGGCCCTCCCTTTCACGAAACCACCGTTCTTCATCCTGTGCTGACACTGCGCAACCAACGTTTGATGCCAGAGATCATAGCCTCAATACAAAAAGGGTTTTTCCAGGTCGATAGAAAGTGGACGTGCTACCGCCGAAATTATTTTGCAGTACAATGCTCCTTCGGCTTCCGAAATGGCATCGTGGATGGACCGTTCTATCTGAATAGGAATGGTTCCGAAGAATTAATCCAACAATTTGCCGTGTCAATTACTGCAAAAACCGCCATGACTAGCAACGGTGAAAGCGAGGCTCGAGGTCTTGTTCAGCATACTCCCAAACGGGATAAGGCAACAGAATCAGTTCCTGGCCGTCACCCAATTGCACCGTCGCCCAACCATACCATTGGCACAAACGGTACGTACTCAAGCTCTGGACATGTGTATGGGGGGCCCAACCATCTTCACTCAAGTATCATCGGTGGCTTTTCAGGGTTCGAAACCCCCGGCACGAATTCAATCCCAACTTCTCATACATTTGAGAGAATTCAGTTCCAGAAAGCCACCGCCAACAATGGCAAACGGCGCGCACAGCAGCAATACTTTTTGGTGGTGGTTGAGCTTTCTGCAAATATCGGGAGGCAGAACGACGAGAACTGGGTCTTGATAGCGACCAAGGAATCCGACCCTATGGTTGTGCGTGGCCGATCCCCTGGCCATTACAAGGACAATGGACGGCGAGACAGCCAGGCCAGCATGGACCCCGATCGTGGAACTGGGCATGGGACCGACGGCCATGCCGGTCCACTTTCATCAGGGAGCTACGGGCACAGCCATACTTCGATGGAATGGATGGGTAGCCATCGACAGGGGGGTCATTTTGGAGGGTCTAGCTACCGTCATGCCTCCGCCTCTCGCTTTTCTCCTGCGAGTCTGGTCTCCTCAAGCGCCCTAGCAGGAACGCCGACCGACATTGAGGTGAGCCTATGTGATTCCCGTACAGCAAAGTCATCCTGTACCCTTTCGTCGGACCGATCTGCTCTGACACCACTATCGGAGGGCAGTGACGATATTATGTTCAGCAGCCTTGACCGCGAAGGGACATGTCGCAAGAGGCCTTTCGAGGACGACGGAGAGGGGGAGCATATGCGCTTCCCACTACCCGGGCCATTCACCGACAGCATGGCAACGATCATTGACTTCTCGGCCGCACCGTACTCGAAGCTTTTGTGCGCATCATCGTGATCCACTTCTGGAGAGCGGACCAAGTACGCTACAGTTGGATCTAGCATTCTTAGAAGGTTCTGCTAAGCCGTCCTGGCCGCCTTCTTTGAGCACTGGCAGTTGTCCACCTTCAGTTATTTCTTATTCAATATCTTCTGGAACCATGTTTGTACGGTGTGAAAGGACTATGGACTAAGTGGAACAGGGCAGGACTTGCACAGGATCTAGAGATACCCCGGGTTCGATTCAGACAGAGCATGGCGCATGGATGGGTCACAAAGCGCAGGATCAAGGACATGGCATGACGGGGATCCCCTTCCTTGGCCACCAGGCAGACTTGAGGTAGGGCTCAGGGATACAAAGAAGGGGCTGCATAAGTGGATATTCCAGAGGCTACTGGAAGGAACAGGTTACCATGAGGCGATCCCACTGGAAGATACGACACTTCAGACTGAGATTTATGCCTTCAGAACGACGTGATGATACGAAACAGCATATAGTTACATTATTATGATTCTACAGGTTTTCGGTACTGTTTCTCCCATGCACAATTGCTGGACCTCGATCGATTTTCCAGGAAGCATGGCGTTACATTGGCGAGATAAACAGGTCGTAGTGGCGGGACAGAGGCTTTTTGGTCTTGCATGGACTTACTCAAGGATGGTACCAAGGGATGGGAAAGTGAACTTGGAAACCTGCTAGGGTCATGGCCATGGAGGAATCCATTTCTTTTCCACCTCTCAAGCTCCATCACCCTCTCTCCCCCAGCCACTTCAAGCGCAATCGCCATCAAGGTTTCTTTGTTCCCTTGTCCTGCAGTCTTACCCTCCCGAGCTACCTCGCAGCCAGAGTACCACCTGACCCCCTTTCCCCGCCATTTGGGACGCGGCAGTGAAATCTGTCGGATTTCAAGCTGCGTGTTCGAGGTGGCATGACCCCCCCAGCAGGGCTCTTAGACTCGATTGATTTCGAAGACTCTGGCTCCGCTCCCAGTGTGTGCCCTGCTTAATTCGCGAACGAGCCGCCATTCGAATCCTAGCCGATGCTTGCTTGACCAGGGGTGGCGCCTGTCACTCGGGCAGGCCCTACGAAATGATTGCACGCCTCTTTTCAGCCCAACAGCCACCTCCATCATCGAGCGGACATCAGAGCGAGAGGGAAGAAAAAAACATTCATGATAATCCAAGCGGATCGAACCCCGCCTGGTCGGGTGTTAACGGCGAGAAGAGAGCAAATAAAGACGCGCTGCACATCTCAGGAGACGTCTTTTGACCTGCGCTTCTTGTCTAACATCCTGGAAGAAGGCCCAAAGAAATTACAAAAAGAGCTAAGTCATCTGGCCCTTGGAACAATCCAACCGAGCTAAAGGGGTAATGCCAAAGGATCCAGCTGAAAGTGATGCCAAGCAGGGCAAATAGAAGGTGCAGAGCGCAGCAAGCCAGTCTTTGAGCTCTCGTATTCCCCCCCGGTTGGGCTGCTTGGTGACTAGGCCCTGTTGTGGGAGGTGGACACCTCTGCGATGGCACGAGCAGCCCGGGTCCTCGGACGATCAGTAAAGTCATCAAACATCTTCGCATGGAAACCCATTAGCAAGCTGGTTCAGTGGTTCAGAGCATTCCACAGTCCTTTCCTTCCGGGAAAGTGGCTTCGGCAATTGGTCCTTCTCTGCGCCCTGGAAAATAACCAGATAAGGAAATTCGCAAGCACCCTAGAGACGAGTCCCTTAACGCTCATTTGATGATGCATTGTCGCCTGGGAGAAACTCTCAAAGGCCAGGGAGTGAAGGATAAGCCACCGGCAAAGCAACGCGAGGAAAACCCGGGATATCCACCGACCGATACCTCTCCAGCTCTTCCAAATCCGTGTGGGAAATATTTGCACGACACAAAATCATGCCACAACTCCGGTGGACCAGCTGGAGGTGGACACTAGTGCTTGCAGAGTACCGAGTATGTATTTCTTGCTTGCGGAAGGTGACGTACAGGGCGACAGTGAGAACGCATGCGGAATCGCAACAGAGGTGCGCGGCTAGCTGGTCAATAGCTACCTGGGTGGCTTACCGGATCCATCGAGACAAGTCACAAAGGACCAGCCCATTGACCCGAAACACGAAGTACATGACCTCATGAGTTGATCGGTGAGGTCCGCCATGGGCTGTGCAAGGTCTGGGCCACGCCCCTTTGGCTATAGTCACGAATTCACCATGGTTCCCAGCAAGCGGTTTTTAAATTCCGCCCATCCTCCAGTCAATCGACGATTAGACTGGTCTACCTCTACAGAATGCGGATTGGATGGGACCCGGAGCACCGAAATGTCGTCAAAATAGGCAAAAACGCCAGCTCCTTTTGCTAGTCGTGGGCCCACTACAGCTCCACCAAAGCCATCCGTGGCAACTTATCTAAAAGCTGCTCGAGCATCGAGGGGGCCATCACACGCGTGGGAAGCCGGGAACCGCACTTTACCGCCGCTGACCGACCCTCTGCTAGTCCATGTGGGCGACGATGAACGAGGTGCCAAAGTTCAAGATTAGCCTCAAACCTTGCTTGCTCCGGGTTTTCGGATCCATGATTAGCGCCCTCTGGGATAGCATGCCACACCGGTACCTGCACTCCGGGGACTCGTACTTTGCATGCCCTGGAGTCAACAGTCTTTCCCCCAGGGACGAGTCACCATCCGGCGCGGCGCTACACTTGCACCTGGTCGCGAATGCTCAGGCGACCATTCAAAGCCCAAGAACGCCTCTGGCGCTCGAAACAGGGAAATGGCGGGAGAAAACCCTGCGAAGATATGCAGTGATCAATAATGTGCGCACGCAGGTCTCGGCCCCAATCACCTCGGATACGCTAAATCACGGGGCCTCGTCGGGCTAGGGCTAGTCAAACGACTAGCAAACAGCTGCATGCATGTACGAAGACGGCGACTCAAATACACTGGTGCAGTGAGGCAAACGAAAAGAAGCACCCCGTCGCGGAGAAGAGACACTAAAATGAACACTAAAAAGCCCAACAGGGGGGGTTGGTGAGGCCAGGGTTCCGTGCCAGAACACCGCTCGTTGCTGTTGTTACCCAAAAAGATCGACAACAGCCGACGATCAGGGTGTGACAAGATCTACTCGTACCTAGAGAGGAGCCGGAACAGCGTCCTGTCACATTGCCCATCTTCATCCCCATGTCCTTTCCGTGAAAACAGGTGCAAACAGTCACGGACCTACTGCCCTTGACCGCTGTTGCTGTGGAGCCGCAGAGATTGGCCCACCACGACCTTCCCGAGTAGAGAGCCTCCTGGACAATCTTTCACGAGGGTCGAGAGTAAAACTTGTTTGGCACAAATGGCATTTTAGCGACCTCCGCTTTCCTCACATTCTTTCGAACTCTGACACCGACCGGAGTCCCCCTTTTGTGGAATCCATTTTTAATATACCCCATGGCAATGTTTTGTCCGTCGAGGGTGGGGCTGGGAGAACCAGAGGTGATGTGACCAATGACCTGATTGTTGTTTTCCGGATCGACGATTTCTGCTCCTTCGCGGGCAGCGGGACCCTTTTCGATGAGGAGGCCAACTCGTCGCTCAGGCATGGTCTTTGGCGACGCGAGCTGCTTGTTGATAATGTGATGGCCATTAAAGGCTGGTATAGGGTTGTCGACCCGGCGAGATTTGCCGACCAACCAACCCAAAGCCGCCATTGGCGGCGTGATCTTCTCATCTAGGTCATGCCCGTAGAGACACATCCCTGCCTCTAGGCGGAGCGAGTCACGCGCACCCAGCCCCGCCCAGCGGACTTTGGAGCTGTCGGCGGTGAGAGCTTTGGCTATGTTCGTTGCCAGTTCGGTTGCGTCTCCGTTTTCGGGCGGGATCGAAATTTCAAAGCCATCCTCTCCTGTATATCCAGTGCGGCTAATGAGGAGAGAGGGAGTGTTCATCCCGGAGTCAGGTAGGGTCAGTTGCAACCATCGACTTGACCCGAAGTATAGTGTATCCAGTGACGTGTCGAGACTGTCGTCGTCCGTGTCATTAAATATAAGCGACTGGAGCAAGCTTGCAGACTCGGGGCCTTGAAGTGCTAGAAGGGCATGGTGGTCAAGGACGTGCCAATTGATCTTATCTCCTGATGCAGCCTTTGCCTTGAGAAACTTGGTTATATGCTGATCGAGATAGGCAATGTCTTTCTCTCGACAGCCTGCGTTCGTCACAAAGTAAAAGCTATCTTTACCAATCCTTGAGATGACTGTATCGTCGACGATGCCTCCTTCCTCGTTCAAAAGGCAAGATAGAGTCGAGCGGTGCTTTTCTATCTCATTGATGGCTGATGGAGTGATTGTCATGAGAAACTCCTCGGCGAGTTCCCCGGAGAGCTTGTGCTGCACCATGTGGGAGACGTCAAAGACACTGGCGTGTTGGCGTGTCCAGAGATGGGAGTCCTTGTGCGAGAGGTCCGGGTATGTGACTGGCATAGCATAGGCAGCGTAGGGTACCATTTTGGCCCCGAGCGAAACGTGCAGGTCGTACAGAGGCGTACGTTTGAGTTCTGCTTCCGGCTCCGGTTTGGTCGAGGCATGGCGCCGCTGCGCATGGGACAGGCCCGACGATGGGAACGTTGGTGTGGTTTGTGGAATGGGAATTGGTATGGGTATCAACTCAGGCAGATGGCGACGAACGGGATGCCGTGGCGAAGATGGTGAAGATGATGTGACCAGAAAGCTCAGTTCGCGCCTTGGTCGGAGAGACGGCCCTTTGTTTGTTTGCGCGAGGGCCGTCGCCAATACTGGCTTTAGCCCTTGACGAGGAGTAGGTATCTTCATCATTACCGTCACGCTCAGCACGAGCTTCTTCTTCTGCTGCTGCTGCTGTTGAGCTAATCTGCTGACCGGAGAAACTTTCGGGTCTCAATCCAGCTTGGGAGTGATTTGTTCACTGTATTGATATGCAGGAAAAAGCTCGGGTGATCTCAGTGGTGCTGTTCCCCGCGTTCAATTCATGATATACAACCAGACTCCCAAGACCTCAAACCACGTTGATATGTGTCTTTTCACCCGGAAGACCTCTTTAATAATGCTAAGGTTCTTCTCACGAAAAAAAAAAACCGAGATAAGGTTGTTAAAGTGGCAGGAAGGGCGGACGTTCGGCAACTTGCGCGCAGCGGAGAAGGTGTCGAAGGGCTTCAACTGCGCAACCTCACCTGTTTCAGGACTAGTGTGGTCTTGGCAGATATTTTTCCTTCCGCCCCAAATTTCATTAACTGCTGCATCTCTCGTCCTCTTCTCCCTTGTGTTTCATCAGTCTCCGCGTTCGAAGAATCGCATTCAAAGCTCACGCACAGCAGAAGTCTCCTCTGAGATATCCGCAGACCAACTAGCCGCCATTCCCCCACAAAGGGAAAAGGCCCAGCTTTGGGAGAAAGTCCCCGGACCGCCCTACCTCTGTTCTCTTCGGGGAGTCAGAGAACGTTAGGACCTGCCGAAAGGCAACCGCCATAAAAGCAACCTTTCACTGCGGTTTCTTTGTTTCTTGAACATCCTTTTTCTTTCGCCTCCCTCTCTTCTCCGAGTCACCTGCGGTCCCTCAATCTCCGACCTCGCTGTCGTCTGCATTCTCTTCTGAGCCGTTCGTTTGGGGGTCTCGATGTGGAAATGAATTGAGGGAAGATATTTGTCTGGCTGATGGATGAAGATATGAGTCCGTCGCCGTGAAGACAGGTTTCCCCCTTTTCTTTTCGTGAAACGGAGAGGACTCGGACTTTTCGAGCTTGCGAAGGGAAGAGATGGCGAGGGTCTATCACATTGGGAGCTTGATGGTCAGTTTGGGTACTTGGGGAGTTCAAAAGAGTGATTTTTGGAGGTTGCGCAATTCGTCACATGTCGAAAGTTATGCGATTGCCCTCTCCCTCAATTGCTGTGCTTGCAGCAGTTGGGTAATGGAGGGTAACTCGATGGGGCTTATTCTCGAGACGCGGATCAACACTCTCTTTTGGGTCTGTAGCTTATGGAAAGCAGCGACCATCTTCCACGATGGTGCAGATGTCCTGTCGAACGGACCGGACTCTTTGATTTGGTGTGCTGTGTTTCGCGGCAATTTCTCATGAATAAGCACCCCTACGCTTCGAGAACAACAGCACCGGAGGTTGGATTTGCTCGAGAATGGCGATGATAAGGAGCTTTGGCTGCGGTGAGCGGTTTGGTTTCCAATGATGAACTCTCAATCACAATAGAGTCAAGCACTTAGGCCTCCATGACTCCACGCGAGCATGGCTTCGGTCAGTGACGCGAACATGGTTGAATACTTTTCTGATGGAACCACGCTCCCGAAGCCTAGAAGATGATGAATGAATCCTTGAGCCTTTACGTGTTTGTATAGTTGTGTGCAGGGTGTATGGAGCATGGGCATTTTATGTTTTTATGATGACTTGATAATGTACCTCACTCGTATCATATCGTATCTACTCGGACGTGGGCTGTGCCCTGTCCCCTGTAAACAGTTTTTTTTTATGTTTTGTCATCATATGTGCACCTCTTCTTTCCTTCTGCTGCCATTTACTTTTCCCGTGCCCGTTTGTCCTCGCTGCGCGCTCTGTATCAGGTAGACCAGGACATCCCAGACCAGCGCGATGACGGTCGCGCAGGCCGTGCTCCACACGTTGATGCTCACGCCTCCGTAGGGGCACCTTGGGAACCCGAGCAGCCACTCGATATACCACGGAAACCAGCCGCGCGGGTAGGTGAAGACGGGCGTCTTTGCGTGCCAGAACTGTAGCGCCAGGCGCAGGCCGCTGGTGCACGTCCACCGGATCGCCGTGGCTTTGGTGTCGAAGGAGGAGCGGGAGGAAGAAACTGCGGCGGCTGGCAACCACGGTAAAAATGTTTCTGTTAGTCGCGATGGATAGATAGAGGGATGGGCAGAGAGAGCGAGGACGCAGGGCGCTTTTGTGTCTTTGACCTTCTTCTTTGACCGGACACAATGATGATAGAAGTTGGATCCAAGTCCCGATTGTCAACGGCACACATGCACCCCTCCCCACCTCTCTTCCTCCTCCTCTTCCTCTTGGTCGCCAGCATCTCGCAACCTCCTCCAGCGAACAGGGGGAAAATGTGTATTTCACCAACAAAACTCACCTTTCTTGTCATGCTGCTCCATGGCCTTGTCATGCTGCCGCCTCAGCTTGGCCCACTTGGAAAACTCGTCCTGCGCGCTGATCGCGTTCATCTCTCGTTTCAGCCGCAGTACCTCGCGGCGCAGGCGCGTCTGTTCTTGCATGTCCGCAGACGACTGGAGCGGGAGGCGGCAGTAGATTTGCCATAGCTATAATAGTGCGCGCGGGGTTGGGAATGTCAGCAAAAAATTTGTCCCCAGTATCATGTTTTCCCTTCCTTCTTGGGGCTGTGGGCTTGTATCGTGTCTTTTCCTACTCTCAAGCGCTTCTCTTTTCGCTGGAACCTGACATGTATGTCCCCGTCAAGCCGAAGAGGAAGCAGTGGAGGGGGGAAACAAGAGGTCGAGGAGAAGAAGAGCAGGCTCGACGTACTAGGTCGTTGATGGGTTTGGACCCGATGGTGAGGACGAGGTGGCAGACCAGTTGAATTATGAAGACCGTGACGAGGAGGGAGACCATGATTGCGCCAGTGCCGCGCAGGCTGCTGTTTCGGTTTTTGGTCTTGCTGTCACTTTGCGATCATGAGGGGAGACCGGAGAAAAAAAAAAGGAAATGAAAACGGAGCGGGTTCCTTTCCTGACAGGATGTCGTGGTCGTGTTGCTTGTCCTGTGTGCTGTACTTGGTACAATGCAAGCGAGTGTGCTGTCCAGTAGACCCGTTTTCGCGGAGGCCACACTTGTGCTTTTGAATTTCGATGTGGAGTGAGTGGCCGGAATTCCAAAAACGTCTTTTGGAGAACAGCGAATCGGTCATGACGTCGGCTGCGGAGCCCGATATAGCTACTGTAGGTTGTGCACAGCAAAGGATAGATGCGCACAGACTACTACGCTGGGGTGACAGTTCAGACACCTGCAGTATTATCGCAGCTCTCTAGACGTTGCAGATTTATGATGTTTGGATCGAAGAATCAATTAAAATCCCCACGCATCACAGTTCTACCGCATGCGTTTACAGCTTTTCCCGGTTGTGGCGCCAAAATACATAAACCACCGTCGCTCATGCGCTATACAAACCGTCTTCAGTCTCTTCCTCCCTGTAATGCTAGTACAGGAGATCCCGGTCGTTGGCGACACTCGTTTGCGGATGGAAACTGTGCTGTGGTGCACTCTGGCTGACGATATATGGATTTCCCACGCCTCCGACAGTCGGGCTAGTCAGGATATCCCCCCCAGTGTTGTCACTCAGGCTCAAGTTCTTGAAATAGTCGTCGGCAGCTTCGATTGCAGCTTGGTGATTGGGCACGGGCGTACCGCCTGGAGTTGTGACGGTTGTGTTTAGTGATAGAGGGTTCGCGAGATCCAGACCGGTCAGGGCGCGGTTCAGATCTTCTCTCTTTCTCTGTAAGGCTGGTGAATCCTGAAGTCGGCGTGTCCGTGCAGACCGGAAGACCTGTTGTACTGGTTTCAGATAGATAGTGGCAAGGGTGCCGATGCCCAGACATAGCTCTTCCAGGGTTGTTGGGTCCAGCTTCTCGCTCTCAGCGGTAATGGGTGGCTTCGTCCCCATGACGACTTTCTTCGCCGTCACTGGGTCGGTCGAAAGAAGGCGCCAGTACATATATCCGCGGTCACGAAGATCCGGATCGTCTGACTCTTCTGTGCACCATTTCAGCACTTGCGGAACTATGGAAGAGCCCTTTGTGGGTCGGTGAAGGAAGAGTTTCACAGTCGCAGTCAGGAGCGCCAATTGAACCTCGATAGGCTCTTCGTGGAATGTCGACAAGTAATCTTGTAGGAGTGAATCGGCGTTATCGATTCGATCGGCGTACTCACCAATGATCCAGATGATCGCAGCCTTTGCCTCTGGCTCATCCAATTCATCAATCTGACCGATCACGGTTGAGATGACAGATTCATACTGGTTCGGATATTTGCGGAAAATGTTCTTGATGACCACTGTCGCCTCTTGCACGATGTAGGGGATTTTGGCATTAACAAGTTCCAGGAGTGCGTCGATACATTGCCGCGCCGCAGGCTCAATCTTGATTGCAAGCTTTCCAATTGCTCGAACGGCCTTGCGCACAAATTGGACATCGATCTCGGTTGCGTACTCTCTCAGCTCGTTAAGAACCACTGAAATGTTGCTCTTATTAGCTAGCATGAATATCAACTCGAGTTTTGTCACTTTGACGTATATCGGATCGTTGTACTTGCAGAAAAACACGCGAATGTCGTTTTGTAGGACCTCGGGCCGCTGTTGGAGGATGAGTATAGCATTTCTCAGGGCAAGATATTGAATCTCTGGCGGTTTAGAGAGGAGAGTGATGAGTGGTGGGGATAGTTTGCGGGCAAGTTCGTCGACTTTCTTCTTGTCGGAGATGTAGTTCATTAGGTACATAATGACCCGAATGCAGGTAAGAACCACAGCAGAGTTCGAGTGCGAGAGCCGAGATGATATTCGTTCTGCCAGTAAGAGGGCCTCGCCAGATTCGTGTGGAACGTAGGACACTAGTGCTTCCAAGATGTAGGTTTGGGACCATTCGTTGCAGTCCGGCAAGATAGAAATGATTTTGGAGGCGCTTGCGTAGTCGATCGTCAGCTTAATGTTATCACTCCTCTCCCAGATATCCTGCAACGAAGAAAGCGCACTTGCGACAACAGTGGGGTTGTCGTCCTTGAGCATTCTATTGAGTCTGTCAATCAGGTCTGACCCCTCGACCAGTCGTTTGTCGTGGTCGTAGATTTTGGCCACGGTAATGGCAGCTGTTTTCCGGACATAGGGATCTTGGTCTGACATTAATTTCTTCAGTGGGGCAATCGTACCCTCGACGAATTCGCGAACATGGACATACGAAATAGTCCGCAGTGCAAGTGCTCGGATTAAAGGGTTCGAGTCCAGAAGATCCTAAATACGTTAGTATCAGGAAGTTCGTCACTGCAACGCGGCCTGCCCACCTCTTCCAGCACCGGCAACGCTCGCAAAGCAATGTCGGGTTTCATGCGAGCATAGTGCTGAAGGTACAAAAAACACCTGTACGTGAGTTAGCAGGATATCTGCGACAGGCGCACTTTAACAAACATTTTCTTGATCTCGAGGACAGGGATATCCATGCAAGCCACGATATCCGGAAAGAGTGCAATCATGTCGTTGTTGCTCATGGTCATGTTGGCGACGATTTTCTTCAGAGCGTTTTTCTTAGTGGTGTGGTTCTTGTCTTTCTTGCCAGGATTTGTGAGTTCCGCTCGTAGCTCGGCAACTTTACCCTGTTTATGAGTGTGAGCGACGGGACAGAGATATAGAGGCACAGGGCATTGCGGCTAAAAGCATGATGTACTGTGGATCTCATAGATGCCGGATGTTCAGTTCACGATATCACACATATGATACATGGAGCGTGGAACCTTTGTAATCCCGGCAGACGTACTCCAAAAACCGCGATGAATGAGAGTGAGATGGGATATGCTGAACATCGCGGCAATGTGGAAACAAGCGAAGGAGGCAGTGGCAGACACAGGCTAGAAGGGAAGGCCCTGCTGCTAAAGAGATTGGCATACCCTGGCAAAGAGCTTTGAGTCTCCATGTCCGGACGACATCCTGACCTTTTCAATCTCGACTCAACCCAATAGTTGGAGGCTTCCGTTGTCACTCCAGTTGACGATATTGCTGCTGGATCCAGCGGCTCGAGGCTCAAATTACGGCATGATCGTCAGCAAAACGACATCTGACCAGAGAGATTCAAAGCAATGACAATGTCCAAGTGGTAGGTAATCAATGTAAGATTTACTGGAGGTCGATGAGGAGGGAGGACGTTGAGGAGGCGTTGCGCGGTGTGTCCCCCCTGGAGCCGCTCACGCCAAGGGTTGCGGAGTTTCCATTTTCCGAGTCCCGTCAGCGTCCAACAACTTTACATAGACGAGGGACTTCGTCGCTGTATCGTTGCGTACCACACCTCCTCCTGTGATGGCGACCTCAGACAGCATGGCTCCTCCAATGCCGAAATGGGTTGTTGACCTCAACAACGGCGTCCCTTCTAGACCCAAGAATATATCCAGCATCCCAGATCCTCCCGGCTTTTCAGGCTCCAGGGCCGCGGTTGGGAAACAGGTCCGCAGGCCCATATACCACCCATAATCTACACTCGCTGACAACTCCAATAGAAGTCGCAACCTCCTGGACGAAAACCCCCGACCCCCGAAGAAACAGAAACACTCAAACTCAAGAAAGCGTGGGAGGTTGCACTTGGGCCTGCGAAGCAACTTCCCATGCAAGCTATTATGGGCTACATGTCGGGCAATTCGCTCCAGATATTTTCCATTATGATGGTGTTTATGCTGTCAGTATGCCATTCTTACTTTGCGGTCGTCGATCCTGATAATTCCTTTCAGTTTCAAGAACCCTATCCAGGCTATCTCGCAGACAAACACACAGTTCGCCAAATTCGAGAGCGCTGGTAATCGTACACAGATGTTGGGGGTTAAGGCGGTATATGTCCTAATGCAGTGTCTCCTGCTCGGTTTGGGCATCTATAAAGTCAACAGTATGGGACTGCTACCTACGACAAGAAGCGATTGGTTGGCATGGGAATATGAGAGACAGCCACTTGAAAGAGCATATTTTGCATTTGGTCGGTAACCTCGAGCAAAACAGATGAGATATCTCTGGTACAACATACCAAAGGCCACTCGCCGTATGGCGGAAGGCCCAGCAATGACTGTCGTCGATATACTCCTTTTCTCGTCTGATTATCTACGTCTTTCAGACGCCACAAGATTGCTCCAAGCTATGTCGTCCTTGTGTTTTACACGCGGCACCTTCTGGTGGATCCGGAGCTCCGTGGTCTGGGACTTTGTGGAAATATCTTCTCCATCGTCAACTACTTGATGAGAAGTTGATCTTCATGGCGCTCTCAAAGCGAACCTGAGTGGTGCGGTCTTGTTCATGGCGACCAAAGTCATCTCTCGGAAAACCGTACCTTTCGTGCTTGGTGTCCTTCGATGGTATTTTGCGGTTGGTGCCCTTTAAGTGCTGGAGCACTCGGTATCACGTCGCTATTTCTCTCAATGAGATCCACGACGCTGTCGTCGGCATTGACCTTCAACTCGCCACGTTCAAGCGCAAGGGCTTGCATCCTTTCGGCAATTTCTGCATCAGGTGCTTCCGCGAGCGAGAGACCCTGCAAGAACTTAGCAGACATAACTCCAGAACTCGATGTTTGCAGAGAATCTCAGTTGCGATTACCTTGAATGGGTCGGCAAGGCTCTCGGAATCAACTTCATCGAGCAGCCTGATATCGATGGTCTGGCCAGTTCGAAGCCACGCGGGCTCCGTCCCAAGCTGCGCACGCACAAAGGCTGCTCTTTCTTGACAGGCTTTGGAACACCACCTTTCCAGTTCGCTCTTATCGACAAGTTTGAAGTCTTTGCCACCCTTCTGATTCCAGACTTTTTGGCCACCATGTGTGAGCTTCAGATTTGGTCTTGGACAGAGAGCGTAGCCACATCGGTTATCTACATTTCGCTCGTAGACGAGATCATCGAAATCCGAGGTCTGAAATAGGCCCAGACAGTGTCGAAAGAGAGAAGCATCGGAAGGTTGAGGTTTTGCGGGGTCAGCATCAGGTCTAGACGGCAAGTCAAAAGCTTCGACTACTAGGTCTGCTATGCGTGCCTGTAGCTTCTTCCTCTCCTCAATATCTCTGGCATGGCGTAATGCAGTCGAGCGAATGCGATCCTCTCTGTTGCTTTCAGGTTGCTCAGTTGCCATCGCAGGCCATGCTCCAAGTATGTTGACTATGCAAGGCGCAGATAATGGGTGTGGGTGCCTTTTGAGAGCGTGGGCTCTTAATTTGTCCTGACAGCCTTGTTTTGATACAAAGGACGAAACATGGGCCTGTGACACGGTAGGCAGAGATGACTGCGGCAAATACTCAGAGCAAAGGCAAAGCGGCTTGATTAAGTAACAAGGCTAAAAGTAAATAGTGAAGCCTACGAGGTACAAGCAATAAGCCTGCGAGAAACTAGGAGCCCCACGTTCAAGTCGTCTACATTCTCTCACAATCTTAATAACGTCTCCTGTCCACCACACCTGTTCTAGCTCATATCGTCTTTCCACGCGTGCATTCTTCTTTTGCAAGTCCATGTGATCTAATAATCACTCACCAGGAAGTCTCAATCTGACCTTGGCACCGATCTTAAAGCGAGGTGGCGCAGGCGCTGCGTCACCGTGCTGGTCAAGTAAGATCATTGAAAGTTCGACCTTCCGCCCGAACCCACCTCCTTCCTGATCTTTGAGGAGCATTTCCTCTAGACAAGATGCCTGCGGTACCGTTCAAGGTCAAGGCGATCTTCGAATACAGATCAGACGAGCCTGATGATCTAAACTTTGATAATGGCCAGATAATCACGGTTACAGAAGAGGAGGATGCGGACTGGTATACTGGGGAATACGTGGATGCCTCGGGGGAAAAGCTCCAAGGCCTGTTCCCAAGGAACTTTGTCGAGAAGTACGAACCGACAGTCCCTTCGCGCCCTGTGCGTGCTTCGAAGCGTGCACCGGTTCCAGAGCCGTCCGAGCGTATCCCAGAGCCTCCTGCACCAGAGCCACACCCTCCGCCAACAGAGATATCCGAACCTGTGCATGACAGCGAGAAAGAATCACTAAGAGAGCCACCGGAACCGGCAAGAACAGAGCCTGAAGCACCTCCGCCGGCCCCGAAGCCTCAACCTGCTGCTCCCACCGCCCCGACCACCATCCCAACTTCTCCCGCGGCCACCCGTGCCCCTCCACCTGTTGCAGAAAAACCATCATCTAGTTCTTTCAGAGACAGGATCGCTGCCTTCAACAAACCCGCTGCCGCACCAATTACCCCTTTCAAGCCCGGTGGTGGTGGGCCAAGCAGTGGTTTCATCAGGAAGCCGTTTGTAGCGCCTCCTCCTAGCAGGAATGCTTTCGTCCCTCCACCCCACCGAGAACCTCCCATCCAAAAACCATATCGGCGAGAGGATGATGCGAGTGTGAACGGATCGGAATCCAGGGATCTGGCGGAATCTGCTGTGACACAACCAGAGCCTGGGGCGGAAGAGCAACCGAAGCCCCAGTCCCTCAAAGAAAGAATAGCACTTTTGCAAAGACAGCAGCTGGAACAAGCGGCTCGGAATGCTGAGAAGAAGGAGAAACCCAAGAAACCCCCCAAAAAGAGAGTCGAGTCCACAGAGGCCAGTGAACAGAGCCAGCCGCCTGAGCCGACTTTGACGAGACTAGATTCCAATGAGACTGTAGGCCGCCCATCCGCCGAGGTGGCTGAAGGAGAACATGAACCTGTTGGTCTCCCTCGCCGCACCACAGGCCTCAGCACGCCACAACCAGCTTCTCGCGAGCTCGTCAGTGACACGAATGACGCCGATGATTCAGGAGCTGCAGATGACGATGACATTCAAGAAACATCCACCGAGGAAGAGCGCCCAAAATCCAAAGGCACGGAAATACCCGTCCCAGCAGCTGCTCCTAGAAAATCAATAGATGACGACCAAGGCCAACAGGTTGAAGCCGAAGAGGAAGAAGGAGGTGAAGAGGAAGAGGAAGAGGAAGAGGAGGAAGATCCGGAAATCCGCCGCAGAAGAGAGCTCAGAGATAGAATGGCCAAAATGAGCGGAGGTATGGGCATGATGGGCATGTTCGGCCCTCCTGGCGGCATTGGACTACCTGGTGCTGCGAGGAAGCCAAAATCAGAGCCTTCTCGGCAGTCCTCTGAGAGCCATCCGCAGGAAGAGCCACAAGAACGAGTTGCCCCAGTACGGATCATGGCATTGCCTGGGATGTCTCCAATACCCAAGCGGCAAGACGAGCCTCTAGCGTCGCCAGAAAGCGACAACGACGACGAGACTGCACGCCCCACCCCGCAAGAACCTGGTGTTCAGGGAGAAAGCGAAGACTACGTTTCGAAGCCCTTACAACGTCGCTCGACAGATCGTGCCGCTCCGCCGGTTCCACAAGGTATGTCTTTTGTATGCTAAAGCGAGTTGCCCACTCACATTCTGTAGATCGCGCTGCTCCTCCACCACCACTTCGTGACACTAGAGGTGCTCCTCCTCCTCCGCCATCGGCCCCAAGAGCAGCTCCTCCAGTTCCGCAGTCACCCACCGGTATGTGAGAACTACCTGCATGCCGGAAACCTACTGAATCTCTTAGCTCGATCCGTACCTCCCCCTCCCCCATCATTACCGCAAGCGTCGGCAGAAGCACCTGGTTATGAGGAGGATGAAGACCAACATCCTCCGGAAGAGGACAGCCCGGAAGCGCTAGAGACTCCAGCTAGCGCGCCTACGCTGCCTCCGATGCCGCCAGCCAGGCCACCTGAGCATTCGGTCTTCGAGGCTGTTGAGAGCGCCACTTCTCCAGTCGCTGATAAACGCGCTTCACGACTCCCGCCCCCTATCCCTATGAGCCCGACTTCTCCCCAGACCAGAGCTCCTCCTCCTCCGCCGCCAGGCGCTCCACCAAGTCGCCGCTCAACGACTGATTCCCGCGGCTTTGGCACCATGCATTCTCCTAAGCCTGATTCGGATGACGAGGAGGAAGTTACGGAATATGACGGAGACTACGATACAGATATCGCTTCGAGTGCAAAGCACAAAGATGCGTTGAAGGCTCACAATCGTGACTCAAGCCTTGATGAAGGCGCCCTCACGGACGATACGAAGTCTCCGAAGCACCCTCCCACACGAGCTGCTCCTCCGTTGCCTCCGGTTAGTATTCCGCGGGACATGCCACCACCGCCACCTTCTTTGCCAACGCCGAAGAGTAGAAGGTCTATGGATGCCCCGCGGGCGGCTCCTCCGCCAGTTCCGCCTCCCAAGGTGGGCGAAGACGACGACTATGATCCGTATCGATATACTGCACCTCAGCATCCTCCGCCCTCTCTTCATACCAAAATGCCATATTCTACATCACTGCAATCACCCAGAGAGGAGCTTGAGGAAGATGACATGTACAGTGCAATGCCGAAAACAACTGCTATCCCACCGCCACCACCAGCAGAAAGGCCAGCACCTCCACCTCCACCACCAGAGCCGGAGTATACTGCGCCCCCGACCCTCGCACCTCCTCCCCCAACAGACATCCCTGAACAGAGTACCGACCTCCGAAGGTCTGGTACTCTCTCTCGCCGTTCAATGGACCATGCTCGGGGAAGCAGTGAACAGGGGTATATTGCTCAAGACATTGACCTCGCAAAGGGCTCAATGTGGTGGACGCAAACCAATGTACCGCCTCCTTCACTGCAAGGAAGACCTGATGTTCTGTACGAAATGGAGACTGGTTCCTCTACTAAACGTGGAGGCAGGACTACCATCTCAAAGGATATTTACGTGCTTTACATGGATTATTCCCAGACTACCATCAATGTTAGCTTCGATGCGGCAGACCCAACCCATGTGACATTGGAACAAAGCCACGG